ATCTTTAACTGTTGCCATTTGTTCATTATAGCTGTAATTAATAAACAAAGAACAAATGAAGTGAAAATGACTTGAACATAAGCACCACATAACTCTTTGCAAATGAGGAAAGACTAGTGGCATCAAATCTTAGAATATCATCTAAAGAAAATCTTCAGATTACTTAGAACTTTAAGACATTTGGAAGGCAACATTTCATTTTCAATCATTTCTGTTATGTACTTCAAGTTTCAGTGTGGTGCTGTGAAGGGGTCAAAGATCTTACCAATTGATATGCTTTAGGTGCAAGGGTCCACGAAGGTTGAAATTATCTTTCCTCTCAGAGGACATTAGGCCCATTACACCTTGTGTTCTTGTTGTTCCTTCTTGATATCCTTAAAGGTTCTGGATTCCTGAAGCAAATAAACAGGCAAACCTATGATCTTTCATTCATTTCTCAAGAAATACATACGATCTTGAACATTAAATGAAAAATACAAAGAGAAAGAAATCAACAAACAAAGCAACACCCACGGCAGAATTCTTCTAGGAAAAGCAGATCCAGATCTGATGGGAGGGATCCCACCCACGGGACCAGGCTCCCATCGTCCCCTTCACCACCTTTCCCAGAAAAACTCCTCAGTTCAAAGAAATTACCTACACAAAGCAGACTCAATTCTTCCAGCTTCTCCGCCGTCAACACTCACCAAAAAAAGACCCCCCCAATTCTGCTCCTAAGACCACCTATTTATACCCAAACACAAAAACCCTAGAAGGAACATTCTAGTCTTTTGGATCCCGGTTTTGGGCTCTTCAAATCTGTTTCTCCTTTACCCAAATCTGCAATGCATTTGGGCCTCTCCGATTTTGATCCTTATACAAAAATCTGTGAAATGTATATGGGCCTTCAATCTGTGTCGACGTCAGCCTCTCGTCACTCCATTCGTGCTCTGCAATAGTACAGATCTGCAAATCTAAACCAAGACCAGCCAATGGGAGATTAAAACTTTGCCGAGTCGTTGGAGCTTCACGTGCACCTCACCTCCGTCGCTGGTTGGTAGATCCGATTGTACTCTCGCTCATCCTGCTGCTCACTCGCCGGTGTGGTTGGTGCTGGACTACTGGAACGGTTCGAGAAGGTGGTTTGAAGCCAAGATCGCCGGCAATTTCTTTGACAAATGAACACCAGCTATATGGGAGAAGGGACCCGGAGAAAGGTGGAGGTTGCGTGAAAGAGGAAGAAGGATTCAAAGGGGTTTCGATGTGTTAAAGAAGCTCATGAGGAGAGAAGGAAAAGAAGATCACCGGTGGCTTCAAAGGAAGGCTGCCGGTTGCTGGCAGAAGGATGGGGGGATTCGGGAGGAGGGAAGCCGAGGATGCACGAGGAAAACAGGGATCCAAGGGACGAGGGAGGAGTGATAGGTCGGTGAGGAAGATGTTTTGGGGCATGCGAAGCTTCATCACCGGCGGACGGAGGCGAGGAGGCTGCGGCAGCAAAGCAAATGGATCCGGTCCGGCAGCAGGCCAGCGGCAGAGCAGATTCATACAAGCAACGAATCACTGAATATCATTCACTTTTAGCAAATTCATACAAGTTTGAGCACCAAACATCAGGAAATTGCAGAATATGAAACAAAAACACCCAAGGCGGAAATTTTGGAGAAAGGCA